TGCCTTAACTTATTTTTAAGACTGTACTTTCTTCTTTTCAAGGTCGTTTATTATTAGTCATGCAAATAAACGAATAGATCAATAGGGTCATGCACCTAAAGTTGAAAGGGACCATAGAGGCCAGTAGGAGAAGAGGCAGCTCAAATATTTTATAGCTTTGGCATCCTGGGCAAGTCACTTCAGTTTCCTCAACTGTAAAGTGGGGATAATAATAGCACCTCCCTTCCAAGGTTGTTGTAGAGATCAAATGAAGTACCAATTTTAAAGCACTCGGCACAGTGCCTGACAAATAGTAGGCACTTGATAAATGCTGTTCCTTCCCACCCACCCTCCCCTTTCATCTAGCCCAGCTCCCTCACTTTACAGAAGAGACAACTGAGGCTCAACATAGTTAAAAGGCCACCTTGGTGATACGTATTAAAAGTGAGCTCTAAACCTGAATTCTCTGACTTCAGAGTTAGTTTTTTCTTTAATTTTATCACACTGACTTCTATAATCGTACTCTTCCTTTCCTTCTGTTGTAACACATGTATATTTTACCCAAACTCTGTAGCAATAAGATCCAAAGACATGACTTTAATGGCAGACATGTCACCTGAAGTGGCAGGCAGATGATGGCGGCCAACATATATTTTTTGACTGACTACAAGGGACAGGCCACTAGTCTCTTATGAGAGATTCTGATAAAATGTATATGAATTGGACATAGATATTCTTTTGTAGACTGTGTCCTCATGGGATGTCAAAGTTTAAGTGGACCTTTGGGTCACTTGTTTGTGCACTTTTGTAACATATTCCTGAACTGAACTTTGGAAATTTGTCATATTAATGATTTATAAATAAAGGGATCATCAGTATATAAGAAGCAAAGCAGGAAAGCAGTAGGGTCTCAAGAATCTGCAAAATGTTCCCCAGGCCAGTTTGTATTGATGATTTTGAAAAATATGCAAAAATAGTTCTTCAAAAGTCCATCTACGATTACTATCGATCTGGTGCTAATGATCAAGAAACTTTAGCTGATAATATTGCAGCATTTTCAAGGTAAGGCAATTTTTAAAAATAATATATTTTGGTTATGCAGCTGACAGATTCTAAATACACTTTTTAATTATGTGTATGTGTGTTGATGTATGTCTATGTGTTTTTTGTCAGGAAATTGGGGTGTATAGAAAATTAGCCTGAAGTGGACCCTAAAAATCCTACTTCAATGAATCTGTTATTTTGTTGATATGGGTGCCCCCTTTAGTATTGTGTATTACAACCCATTCATGTTACTCATCCTATATGCCTCTTGTCAAATGTTTAAAAATATTGGATTTCTAAACATTTTTATACTACATATTTTTAAATCTCCAGAATCAGGGTGTTTGAACTACTGTATCCCCAGACTATCCCTGTTTTGCTTAATGTGCATGTTTCCTATCCAGGTGGTAGTATTTTGCCTCACATGGAAGAGTCAAAACTTTACATTTGACTTTATATGAACATAGCAACAAATTCAGATAAGCCTTTTCTCATTTCCTTTCTCTTATGACAGTGCTCTTCTCCCTTAACCATGCTTTTCCAAACAGTTACCTTGAGTATAAGATAGCAATCTTATTTTGAGAAGCCTCTGGAGATCACATCCACATTCTACTAGCATTTGATCATCATTCATTTTGCCTGCTGCCTAGGCATATCTACACTTCAGATTTCAATTTATCTAGGTAGGCTCAATCTTTAATCTTTGAGACGTTTCATCTCTCTTCCCCAATGTTTCCTCTTTCATTCTAAAAGAGCTGATTCCCTTGATATTTTACTATTTCAAATATAGTTGGCAGGATGACTTGTATCTTTTCTTCATAAGGATAAATATTGAAGAACAGGGAAATGACTCCTCATAACCAGTGTAATTACATAGAATTGATACTTTTCCTCTTGCCATTCAATCACTGTCATTCAGTTTTAGAAATGAGGAAATAGAGAATTAAATGGTCTACACCATGTATGTTATGATATTAATATCAGCAATGATATTATTCTATGTAGGGAAATAGTATGTGCATTATGTCCACAATATGTCACAGTATGTCATTGTGTCCTTGATGATGATAAATGAATGAATAAACAAATAAGTGCTTATTAAGTATTATGTGCCAGGTTGGATGTTCAGTCGTTTTTCAGTCATGTCCAACTCTTTGTGATTCCATTTGGGGTTTTCGTGGCAAAGATAATGAAGTGGTTTGCCGTTTCCTTCTTCAGCTCATTTTGCAGGTGAGGAAACTGAGGCAAACAGGGTTAAGTGACTTGCCCAGGGTCACACAGCTATTAAGTGTCTGAAGCCAGATTTGACCTTAGGAAAAGGAGTCTTCCTGATTTCAAGCCTGATGCTCTATCCACTGTGCCACATAGGTGCCCCTGTGTGCCAGGTACTTGAAGAAAAAAAGGAGAAATGATAGTATAAGAAATAAGAGCTTCCTGATTTATTCTAAAAAGCTGTGATAGAATTTCTAAATTTTTCTATTTGTAAAATGATAAGTATATTATTCTTATCCAAAGGATCCATATTTAGGAGGATAATAGAAAATTATTTGTTTAGGTGAACTTCATAAATATCATTATCAACATCATCATTGCTTACTTTTAATCACTTTTATCATTTACAAGGTAAATTTACATTTTTCATTTATATTTGATTATAAATTTTATTTGATGCATCAAATTCATTCCATTACACATTTGCATTTATTATTAATAGGATAAAATCATGGAAATTATTTTATCTACTCTACACAAATATCACTGTGAAGTAGCCAGAATAACTATTCTAAGAATGGGAGATAGAGAGGTTAGATGTGATTTGTCCAAAATCACTGTGAGTTCTAGTAGTAGCACCAGGACTATTCCCCAAGTTTTCTGACTCCTGCAACAGAGCTTTTCCCACTACATTAGTATATTATGTCACTGAGCTCTAATCCTGTCTTGCTTACTCTCAGTTTAGCTTTGGGTAAATCACTCAGGTTCCCTGAGCCCCAATTTCTCTTCTGTAAAATAAAGGAGTTGTATCAAATGGTTTTTGAAGTCCGTTTTAACTCTGGGTCTGTGATTCTGTGTGCCTACTGTGTACAACTTCTTGCTCATCTCAGCATAATCCTATGTTAAGGAGCAATGAGGCTGGCTTTTTTATTGTAATAGAAAGAAAGCTTGTCAGCATCCAGGCAGTGTGCTGTGGACTTATCCCAACGTTCTGCCCCCAGGAAAACTCAGATTCACTTTCTCTGATTTCTCAGGGTCTGGTTTTCTTCTAGATAACTTGTGAATTTATTTACGGCAGTGAGTATTAAAGAGCTGATCCTTTACAACTTTTAGGTAACATTTGCATTTTCCTAGAGGCATCTTGAAAACAATTCCCTAACTTGAATAAGAAATTCTTAAAATGGAATTTTTTATTATTGAGGGCTTCAAAAGGATTTGAGAGAGGTCAAGAAATCTTTCATGGTGTCTTAGATCATGTCATGGAAATAGCTACTTACTCTGATTATGTGTAGCCTTACCAGGAGCAGTGACATGTTGTCTCAACAGTAGCACAGGTTCCTTTAGTCACTACAAAGGTGGCATAAGGAAATTAATGTGATGGGGGATGGGCACAGATAAAGGAATTCAAATTGGCTATGGTCAAATCAGTGAAGTAACTTTTTGCTTTCTTTCGCTTTCTCCTACCCCCAAACAAGTAACTCTTTTTGAGACTTCCAAGCATATGACACTGTTGGTGGTGGTGATTGGGGAGGAGTGTTGGTTCATGGTTTTCCAAGTGTAACATTTCAGAATTCTTGACTTTGGGTCAGCCTACTACAGTGCACTTAGTGGAACCCTTGTGTCCTTCTCACCTGTATGAACACTGGGAAAATCTGAGAATGTGTCTCAGGGATTGGAAAGAAGTGAACTCAGCATTGAAGAGCATGATTTTTCCCAATGCACCCTGCTAACTATGGAGTCTTTCCATCTGACTTGCCACTGTGATCCCATTATTAGAATATGAGATGTTTGAGAGGTTTACAAAAATTATAATTCAATGCACCTTTTTTAAAGGTCTTATTATCTACTCTTTAAAATCTTTTGTTTGTCATTGGTTACATTGCATATTGCTCATCAGTTTGCATCCCCAGTACTTAACACAGTGGGGTACTCAAAGTAATTGCTCAATATATTATCTTTTTATTCATTCATACCTCTCTTTTCTAACTTTAGATGAATTTTTTGTTCACAGAGCAAAAAATAAAAAAACAAACTCTCCCCATTGAAAACAAGCAGTTTATTTGGATAGAGATATTTCTTTCTATTGAAGTTTTAGGGGATGTTAATGATCAGGGGATACAGCCCATGTCTGGACATTTGATACTTCTTTTTTTTTTCACGTCCTTTTTTTTAACCTTATAAAATATCTGATGACCCTTGTTTTTCTCACTACATATTTTAAAATAACTGACCATGAAGCATTAAGAATGAATTTTCCATCAACACCAGGTTTAAAAAATTCCACCTCCATCAACATCAGCTTTAGGTTGATGGCTTCTAGGAACTCAATATGCAGTTTTCTTATTCTGAATTTCAAATGGAGATTGGAAAAAAATTAAATCTTAGATAATCTAAATTAAATGTTAGATTATCTTAGATAATCTCCACCATCAACACTACAAAGGCATTCAAAAAGAAGGAAATTTCCCTCAGTGGTACAGAGGTCTCCAACTGTCATAGCTCTTGTTTACACTGTCAGAAAAAAACATTCAGGTCATCCTCATGGCTCCCCAGCCAAAGGTCCCTTTTACTGATTGGGACACTCTCCTAGTCCAGTTTCAGTACAGAGACCAAAGCCAATATGGATAAGGGTGTTTGTTTTTCATCTGCAAACTTACAGGAACGTGTGCTACTGAAAGCCAGAGCTCCACAGAGGGCAAATATCAGGTTGTTAGCATTTGCATCACATTCTCTTTTCTGTGCTACACTTAGGACTTAGGGTAATTTATTGCTATGGCTCGTTGATGCAGACAAAGTGCCCTTTTCAATCATCACTCTCTTGAGTCTTTTGTGGCTTTCTCAGAACTGAAGGGTCATTGATGGAAGGCAATTCTAGAGAGTAGACATTTAAGAATACAACCTATGGTTACAAAGAATTATGAAACTCTCCTACCACATTACCTGGGGCCTTTTGCAGTGGATATGGTTTTCTCATTCTTCTAAATAACAGGTGAGTAGAAACAAAACTCTCTTAAGTTATTATTCAGAAGGTGATTTGAACTTACACAGTGACATTTTCAACATTTTTCTTACTTAGATACCATAGAAATATGTAACTCGATGATCCCTGGAGTGGAACCCCTTGCTTTCTAACTTTGTGCCAGCAAAGACAGTGGCCTGTCTTCTATTTAAAAAAAATTCAAATGGAAAGATGTTTCACAATCTCCATCTGTATATCTTTTCCAAAGTTGAGACATATTTAGATTCCATATAGGTGGTGCCAACACATTTAGAAAGCTGAAATAAGTCTTCTAGAACAATAGAGCACTGTTAAATATCTTACTGATACAATATGAGCCTTCTTTACCCAGGTTTAAAAAATTCCACCTCCATGTACCTTTCTTTAGAGGTCTTATTGTTTACCCTTTAAATTCCTTTGATTGTCATTGGTTACTTTGCAATGTTGGCATATTCTTTTTGAAACATGGCTCCCTAAAAGACCATTGGACTGCAATCAGTAGACATGGGTCCTAATTTTGGCTTGATTAGTTGAGCAATGTTGAACAAGTTATTTAACTTCTCTGAGACTCAGCTTCCTTATCTGAACATGTTTGGTTTAAATGCTTTCCAGGGTTCCATTGACCTCTCAATTCATTTCATGAAACTAGACAAAGTTCAAAATGGAGTCAGTAAATTCATTACAAGTAGTATCATCTGCTCTTTTCCATCTGATTCCATCTGGGTGAGAGGCCAGGAATAGAGCGGGTGTCAGGAGGCCTGACGGGAAACCCTGACTATGTTTTATCATGGGGAAATGGTGGGAAGAATGCATCTTTCTCAGGATTTGAGATAAATAAGTAGATGACACCAGTACCAGAAGTTCAATACCAGGGATGCTACAGTATATGTCTTTCTCTATAAAAACATCCAAAAATCATCCATTATCATAAGAGGCAAAAAGAGTAGGTCTTGTCCATTAGTCATCCAATTACAGCTATGCAATAGGGACTCTGGCTAAGCAGAATTAGATCAGAAATAATAAACCAACAAGTTATAGCATTGTAGATTTAGAGGGGAAGGAGCATTAGAGGTCATTATGTTCACTCCTTGTCCCATATTTTAGATGAGGAAACCTAAGCAAAAAGAGGTCAAGCGACTTGCCTAGGGTTACACAGCTTGTAAGTGTCTGATAGTGATTTGAACGTAGGTCCTTCTGACCTATCTGGTGTTCAAAACCACTATATCTGTGTGGTGTGGAGATATGTACAAATATTTTATGCATTATATTATGTATTAATACATACATAAGTATATATATGTATACATAGATATAGATATAGATATAGATTGAGAGAGAGACAGAGACAGAGATAGACAGACAGACAAACAGACAGTTTAATAGCTTAAAACCACACCAAAACTATTGGAACAGCAAGTGTGTGTGTGTGTGTGTGTGTGTGTGTGTGTGTGCATGAGAGAAGAGAGAGATAGAGAATAAGATTACAAGATAAGAAATTATGCTTCAGTCCTCTAACTGAATATCCTTTAATCTGTTGGAGGATGAGGTATAAAATATAACTGGTACTAGCCATACTTTCCTATTCTACTCAAAGAGTGAGAGACATAATTATTTCAGGCAGTGTTGGACCTCATCCTCAAATATGATAAACAATTCGCCCCTGGCATCATTTATGAGATTAAACGATATCCCCCAACTGACCTAAGAAGAAGCATTTAAGACAACCCATATAATTGTCTACTGCATGTGTAAATATCTACAGTTACTATCTTTGGCTCAACACTCAAAATACTGTGAAGCGTATTAATAGTCATTAAAGTATATATAGCCTTAGAAAATTGTAATGAACATTGAGAGGTTAAACAAGTTGTCCAGATTCACAAGACCAATATGTGTCAGAGATGGGACTTGAACCCACATCTTGACTTGTAGACCATCTATTTTATAATCCCTTTCTCTAAAAGACTGAGTTGCAGAGCAGGGGGCCAATCTGAACTGGTAGAGGGAGTTTTCTCACTGGGAGCTTATACTATTATAATTATACTGTTATACTGTATATATAATGTTATACTGTTATATACATATATATGCATATATATGCTATTAAAATTACAGAGATAGTCCAAAAAGAGGGACATTTATTTTTCCTCTCCTGTGTTCTATTAATTTATCTGAAACTATCTAGTACATTCGTTAATGGGATAAACTCTGTTGCATCATGCTCAGGAAGGGCAATGAAGTGTTTGTAAAGAGTAGCTGCTCACATGGTTATTAGTGGAACAGTCCCACCCAGTGGCCAAGGGCTTCATTAAGCCTAAAGCAAAAAGACATTACTGTATCTGAGAATTGTGGAATGTTGGAACTGGCAGGGACTAGAGAATGTTGAGCTCAGTCACCTCATTTTATAGATGAGAAAACTAGGGATCAGAGAGATGAAAAAGCGATTTATACAAGATCACTCAGCTATTTAGGGCAGAGCTGCAAATAGAATGCAAATCTACTGACCTCTGGTCCAGTATACTTTCCACTAAACTATGCTGTCCTTGAAGTAGAGTTGTGTTTTTTTTTCTTTCCTTCTTTCCAAACAAGCTATTCTCCTACATGCACATTCAAATATCCACACACCAACAAACACAGACAGTACCTTTTCTGCAGATTCATATAAAGGCCTTCATTGTTTCATGGTTCCATATGCAAATAGAAAGTACATTACAGAGTTTGGCATGTCTCAGCTGCTATGATGCTTTTTCTTGGCTATTCTGTTGATGAAGTCAGAGATGATCTGCATTAAAAAACAAAACACTCTTCATTCCTTTTCCCTCTGCCCGTCTAAAATAGATACCAAAAAACTTTGCTGTGGAGGCCACTCAAGGGGGAAAACTCTCATAGATAGAATATTCAAGGTGACAAGAAAAAATAAAAATTACAATACTCTAAAAAATTACAGAAGAAAAAATAGGAAGAAAATGTCTTTATTATGTTTTTCAGAGGCCAAATAGTTTACATTATAGGTGAGGAAGAATTAGATTACAATGAGGTCCCTATCCTGAATTTAAGAAGATCATGTTAGCATGTTTCTCCTTTTCATTTTTCTACCTTCCTCTACCATCTCCCCTGGAGAAGGGACCACATTCTCCTGAAGGGCAATAGACTGTTTTTGAAAAACCTTTGATTTCCTACTTTCCATTTCTAAATGGATGGAAGTCAAAGGGAGATGGTTTCAGCTCACTATGAAGAACAACTTCATAGAATTTGGACCTGTCAAAAATGGAAGGTGCTGCTTCAAAGGGATGAGTTCCCCGTCTTTGAAAGTGAACGAGTGGAGGCTTAATAAACACTTGTTGGGGATAGTAGAGGAGAGATTCATGAGGCTGAGTGAGATTATCTCTGAGGTTCAACTCAAAAATTCTATGATTCTGTCTATAATTGCACTAGGCTGGAATGCATGTACTTTGGGGTTTTTCTAGATGCTGTCCTTTATAAGAAGCTATTTTTTTTCCATGAAATTAAGTATCTTGACCTTTTGCACTGTGGTACACTTGAAAGACCACTGAATTCAGGGTCAGAAGACATGGACTTCAGTTTTTAAGCCCAGCCATTTACTAGCTCGGGGACTTCAGACAAGTTATGACCTCTGTAAGTCTGTTTTCTGTAAAATGAGAATATGAATAACTATACTATCTCACAGGATTGTTTTGAGGATCAAATCAATCAATAAACAATAGATGAATAAACATTTATTAAGCACCTACTATGTGCAATGCACTGGAGGTGGAAGCTATTTGACCTGAGTTCAAATTCTACCTTGGATTCTTAGTAGCTGTGTGACCCTGGACAAGTCAGTTGACCTCAGTTTCCTCACCTGTAAAATGGAAATAACATCACCTAACCATGTAGTTATTATGAGCATCAAATGAGAGAGCATATATGAATTGCTTTGCAAATCTTAAAGCACTTTGGAAGTGCTAGTTATTGTTTATTAAATTCAACAAATGTTTATTATCAATAGCAGCTTACTTCCTTATAATGCTTTACAGTTTGCAAAGTGCTTTCCTCAAAACAACCTCACCAGGTATTCAGTGAGTGATTTTATTGATAGCAATTTATAAATGAAGAAACTGAGGCTTAGAGATTCTAAGCAGCTCATAGTCATGGGGCTAGTGAGTGTTGAAAGCCTGGTTCAAACTCAGGCTTCCAACTTTTGATTGCAAGTCAACATTCTGCTGCTTTCCAAAACAAAGAAAAATCATCAAATTCAGAATCAATCTATAAGTAGCTATGAATTGTCTCTTATGTGCTAGGCACTTGGCTAGGTACTGGGAATACTCATAGAAAGAATGAAACAATCTTTCCCTAGAAGGAATTTACATTCAAATAGAGGTAACATCATGTCACTATATGAATGTCCACATCATAAATGTAAAGTGAATACATACAAATATATAAAAAGTAGTTAAATAACAGATCATTTGGGAAGGAAGGCACTAGCAGTTGGGAAGGGATCAGGGAAGGTTTCATACAGGAGATGGCACTTGGGCTGCATTTCAAGGGAAGAGATTGACTCTATGAGGAAGACGTGAGGAAGAAATACATTCCTGGCATAAAAGACTGCCAATGCAAAAGTGCTGACATGGGAGCTGGAGTGTCTTGATGAGAAATGGAGGAGAGTTTGGCTGGATCACAGAGTGCCAGATTGGGAATAATTTTTAATGAGGTTAGAAAGGTAGATTGGGAGCAACTTGTTTAAGGCTTTGTAAGATAGACCAAAGAGTTTATATTTTATCCTAGGGATAATAGGAAACCATTGTAGTTGGTTCAGTATGGGAGTTGTCCCATCTGTGCTAAAGGGAAATTACTTTGGCAGGAGTGCATGGAATAAAGTAGAGAGTTCTAAGAGATTTGACACAGGGAGACCAATATGGTTTGTTGGTGAGTTGTGTCTAATTCTTTGTGATCCCATTTTGGGGGGTTTTCTTGGGAAAGATACTGGAGTGGTTTGCCATGTGTTTCTCCAGCTCATTTTACCAATAAGAAAATTGAGGCAAACAGGATTAAGTAACGGTTCAGGGTCACATAGCTAGTAAGTGTTTGAGGCCAGATTTGAACTCATATCTTCCTGACTATAGGCCTGACGCTATATCCGCTGCACCACCTAAATGACCAATAAGGAGGTTGTTGCAATAATCTAGGCAAAAGTTTATGAGGGCGGGAGATAAGGTGGTAGTTGTGTGAGCATTAAGAAAGAGTCAGATATAACAGATGTTGTGAAGGTAGAAAGAGCAAGATTTGGCAACTGATTAGATATGCAGAGTGAGAGAGAGTGAGAAGTTGAGAATAATGCCTAGATTACAAAACTAGGAGACCAGAAAGATGGATAGAAATGGCTAAGTTGGAAGGATGGATAGAAGGGAGTATGTTTGGGGCAAAGATGCTAAACACCTATTGTGTGGAAGGCACCCAAAAGGTACACAGCATCGTAGTTAGAGAGCTGGACTTAAGGGCAAGGACGACCTCGGTCCCTGAGTTCTAGTCCTGTTTCTGATACATTCTAGATGTGTGACCATGGACAAGTCATTCAGAACACTCTCCAATTCTCTAAGTTAACAGATGATTTGCTGATAAACTTTGATGGAGGGAGATTAAAGGGGAGGTCCCTGCACCAATGAAATTGTGGATCTGGAGTCTGCCTGCTCCCACTCACCCCCAATCAAGAAAAAAAAAAAACAACCAAATACAAGGTTCACGATGGAAATGGCAATAAAAATACAAATGTTATGACTCCTTTTGTTATTGCAGAAATGTGGGAAGGGAATGGGCCTTTATATAGCACCTACTATGTGCCAGGAACTGTGCTAAGTGCTTTTACAGATAGTATCTCGTTTGATCTTCACAACTACCCTGCTAGGTAGGTACCCTTATTACCCCCATTTTACAGTTAAGGAAACTGAGACAAATAGAAGTTAAAGTGACATGACCAGGATCCACAGCTAGTAAATATTTGAGGTAGGATTTGAACTCAGGCCTTCCTGACTCTAGGCCCAGTGCTCTCTCTATAAACTATACCTTCAGCTGCCTCTTTATGGTTAAGTTTCAGTAGTGAAGATGAACTTGTGGGTAAAAATATATAAGCAACATACTCTCTAATTGAACTCCTACTCCTCAAATGATAGACTCAGGTATAATTTTGGAGGGCCTTTTAGAAAACCTTTTTTTTTTTTTTCCTCATATCCCTCGCCATAGGAAACCACAGAAAAGACAATATCTGGCTGATTTTCTTCTGGAAATGACTCCCTTTCAGTTACTTGGGCTAATAAGACAACAAATATAGGACAGGTTTTATTTAATCTGAACAACGGCAGCAGCAAAAAACCACTACTAAGCACACAACAAGATCATACCTGAGCCCCTCAACTCCCTTCTTCCTTCTTCCACAGGATCCTGTACAGTCATTCTGACTTCAAGTACTACATAATGTGATTCAAGGTTGTTAGAGGTTCTACCTTCCACCCTCAATTTACACAGGCTTTATATTTCACAGTGTGGTGATAGCGAATTGATAGGTCTGGGTTGTTTCTTGGTGCATGGGGCTTCCTGCTGTGCTCATCTGTTTAGCAGTAAAAGCACAAGTTCTATAAGTTTGCTATTATCCCTATCAGGTCTCTGTCACCATTTCATTGTCTCCATCTGGTACTGGCTCCTGGGTGTATGTGATTCCCTACACAGTCTCATGTGCACCTTTGTTATCGCTCTTTTCTCCTCACAGTCTGTGTGCTTTCTTCTGTCTAGAAGATCTCTTTTTTGTGTGTGTGCGCACACTCTAATAATCATCTGTGGATGAAGATGAAAGAGTTTAACAAATGATTTCCTTGCATACCCACTAGTGCACGTATACATATATTTATACACACACATACACTATACATATATACATACCTATGTGAATGTGTTTATATAGATGATGATTTCTTTATCAAATTCTTTTTTCCTCCGTTCACACTATTTTTTGCTCCTGTCCCTGTTCCTACCTTAAAAAAACAAACAAACAAACAAACCCTGGATTTTTTTACTTATGTTTTGTTTTTGTATTGATAAAATTCCCCTCCATTTTCCTCCTTCTCTCCCTTCCCCAGCACCTCATTAACGAAGAAACTATTAAAAGAAAAAAAAAAGACAGAGTATGAAGTAGAGGGGAAAACTGGTAAAAATCAATCAATTGAAAAATCTGAAAATGTATGCATTTTCCCATACTTTTGATTTATGGATCAAATTCTAAAGAGGAAAAAAGGATATTATAATTCAAAAAGAACCAAGAACAGCTAATATAGACTACTATATAAATATTATATGTATGCATACTTTTTTTAATAAAAAAACATTACTACAGGAAGAAGAATATGAGCAATGAACACAGAATGTTCCTTATGATGACCAGATCTTTGATTAAGCACAGAAAGAGGCACTAGAGACAATCTAACCTAAACCCTTTCATTTTTACATATGTGGGAATAATATTTCATACCCCAGATTTCTTAAAGCTCATTGTTAGGGCTGTTCCCTTACACTTATCCCTGCCTAATATCTTGCTTATTTGTGGCTATGCTTTTCCCTGCCTTCTATTGTAAGTTTCCTGACAATGGAATAATGTTATATCTATTTTTGTTTTTGGCTAGGCAATGGGGTTAAGTGACTTGCCCAGGGTCACACAGCTAGTACGCGTCAAGTGTATGAGGCCGGATTTGAACCAAGGTCCTCCTGATTCCAGGGCCAGTGCTCTATCCACTATGCCACTTAGCTGCCCCTATATCTCTTTTTGTGTAACACTTAGTACCTAGTATGGTACCTTGTACATTATTTTAACCAGGTCTCTTATTCCATTGGCATACACACAAGGAGTAATACAAAAAGTAGGATTGAGAATGTTTATCCAAACCAATCCAATAAATATTTATTAAGTGTCAGGCACTTATTGATACTATGTGCCAGGGTCTGTGCTAAGTGCTGGAGATACAATTAATAGAAAGAAATGCAGTCCCTGCTCTCAAGGAGCTTACAGTCTGATGGGGGGAGACAGCACACAAAAGGAGGTAAGAAGGCAGACATGGGGGTGTGGAGAACACCAGTGTGAACACTGCTGGGGTCATATTGTTGAATGGAGTTAAAACTGGGCAGAGCAGCAGATGCAAAGGGTAGTGACCTATGTCCAATTTCTGCCCTGTATAAAGGAAGGCATTGGGAGAAGTTTGGTGTTCCACCCTCTAGCCCTCTTAGCAGAAGGGATAGGGGTTGGAGGAGGTGATATCCTTTTTTGTTTTGTTTTGTTTTGTTTTTGTTTAGTGAGGCAATTGGGGTTAAGTTGACTTGCCCAGAGTCACACAACTAATGAGTGTTATGTGTCTGAGGATTTGAACTCAGATCCTCCTGAATCCAGGGCTGGTGCTGTATCCATTGTGCCTCCTAGCTGCCCCAATATGGGATCATGGTAGGTTTTTGTTGTTGTTTAATCAAGTCTAACTCTTCATGACCCTATTTGGGTTTTTCTTAGCAAAGATACTGGAATGATGTGCCATTTCCTTCTCCAGCTCATTTTACAGATGAGAAAACTGAAGGAAATAGGATTAAGGGACCCAGGGTCACACCACTAAATAAGTGTCTAAGGCTGGATTTGAATGAAGGAGGTGATCAATCAAGGCTTGAGTTAGCAGCATGGTGGCAAGTTTAGAAGTGATGAGTTTAACCTGGGAGAGGAATCTTGTTCTGTGAAGTTGAAAACAAGCAGAGCAACAGATGCAAAGTGAAGCTGTGTATATACTTATACGTACATATTATGCTCAGGCAAAGTCTTTTTCAGTCTTCACTATGTCCAGGAGAGCATCAGCTCCCAGCGGCTTGAGGAAAATCAGTCAAAAAGAATTATATTAAGTACTTGCTATGGGTGAGGCATTATGCTGAGTGTTAGGGAAGCAAAGAAAAGGAAAGTTGTGGTCCCTATTCTCAAGGAGCTCATATTCTAATGAGGAAGACTACATAAAAACCAGAATGTCCATACAAGATATATACATCTGTATATGAAAATTATTGTTGTTGATATATATATGTATGTGTGTGTATATATATATTATATATATATATATCTATATCTTCTATATGTGGAAATTATTGTTGTTGTTTGTCCTTCCTCCTCAAAGAGGACTATGACATCAGGAAGGTGATGCCATGATATGCAAGTGAATTGGAAATTAATCCCTGAGGGGAGGAACACTCCTGGGAAAGACTTTCTATAAAAGATGGGATTTTGTCTGAATTTTGAAGGAGTGCAAAAAGGCTAAGGATCAAAGTAAGCAGAAAGAGCATTCCTTGAATACAGGCACTGGGCCAGTGTAACTGGAGGGAAATAAAGTGTAAGATTAGAAAGGTAAGAGAAGGCCCCATTATGAAGGACTTTAACTGCCAAACCTAAGACTTTATATTTGATCCTCAAGCTAATAGGGAATCACTGGAGTTAATAATTCACTGTTAAATTTCCATACCCCATCCTTACAAATATCAATAGCAGCTTTTTTTTTTCTGCAGCTTTCAATCCAGCAATGGAAGGATAATAATAATAATAATAATAATAATAATAATAGTAATAGTAATAATAATAACAATACCTTGATTATAAACTTTAAAGTCATTTAAAACCCTCTTTTTTAAGGTAAACCCACTGTTGTTTTGTGTTTTATTTCTTCCAGATGGAAACTATATCCCCGGATGCTCCGGAATGTTGCTAAAGTAGATCTGACCACCTCTGTTTTGGGACAGAGGATCAGCATGCCTATATGTGTTTCACCCACAGCCATGCAATGCATGGCTCATGTGGATGGAGAGATTGCTACTGTGAGAGGTAAACAGGGCTTCTTGGGGGGAAACAAAGAGACAAATGTCATGATTTTGACTATCTGCTCTACTTTCTGACCATGATTCCTTCTTAAATACAAATAGGTTTTACTCACATCAGAACTGTTTACTTGGGCAGTAGTGATGAGAAATTCAATCCATTATATAAAGCATTTCTTATTAAAGGCTGATACAGTAATTTCTCTAGTTTTGCCTCCTACACCTGCAACAATTATATTCATGGTGTAAGGCTGGAAGACACTTGCTCAACGTTAGAGTCTTGCAGACTTCATCTTTAGGAACAAATGTAATTGTAACAACTGCCAACCTAGGAGGAATCTGAAGAGAAGGGACCAGTGTGGATGCACAAGGAACTCTCATTTATCCTTGATTTTAAAAAAGTGATAAAAATAATAATATGTAGAGCATGGAAGGAAAAGCAGATAAAAGGTGATGATATAAGAATATGGCATAGTCCTATAAAAATAATATCAGGAATCCTACAGCTAAGAACAAGAAAAAGTTGTAAATACAATAAAATAATAATGACAAACATTCATACAGTGCTTTAAGGTTTACAAAGTACTTTATAGATATCTTATTTTATCCTCACAACAACCATAGGAATTAGGTGCTATTATTATACCTATTTTCATGTGAGGAAACTGAGGCAGACAGAGGTTAAGTGACTTGCCTAGGGTCTCACAGCTACTAAGTGTCCAAAATAGAATTTCAACTCCAGCCTTCTTGACTCTAAGCCCCAGCACTCTTTCCACTACTCCACAATGTGTTGTTGATTTGTTTTGTCTGTTTTCTTTTTAGCTTTATTGGAGAAAGGAAGGGTATCCAAGAAGAAAAGTGTATTTGAATTGATTGTAGAAAGCAGACCTGCTCAATACTTATTTCTCTTATATTTCCTCTTCCAATTAATCAATAAACATTTATTAAGTGTCTAATGTGTACTAGGTGCTTTGATAGTTCCTTCCCTCAAGGAGATTACAATTTGGGGGGGGGGGCAACATGCAAACAAACATATACAAAGCAGGCTATAAACAGGATAAATAGGAACTAATCAAGAACTGGGAAAGCACTGGAATTAAGTGGGATTAGGGAGGGCTTCCAGTAGAAGGTAGGATTTTAGTTGGGATTTAAATGGAAATGACAGAACAAAATTGGTTAAAAAGATGTTGATATGCAAGGTAAGTAAAAAATAGAGAGCACGTAATGTTTCTTGATTAATTCAAGTCCCCTAGCTCCAGTGTCCTACACATTGGAAGAATTAATAAATGCTGTTTTTGGGCCACTCTCAGTGAGCACTGTCAGTGCTTATAGAAAGCAAGACAGAACCATATTAATGAATGGTAATTACATCAGCAAGCCTAGGTAGTACATAGCCAGGGGCAAATACATTAGTTTTTGACAATCTTTAACAGTTTCCTTAAGCTCTCATATGAAAACTTGGCCACTCTAGTATCACACAGTAACTTTCTCAAGCAGATTTGGAGACTCAGTCAGGAGTCCCTTGATCAACCCCTTACTACACTAGCTCCTCAATTCAGTATTTTTTGACCCTAGCAACTCAACGAGTATTTTGGCCATGTTTATTAACATATTCAATTCTTTATTTCTCTCTGTTGACTTGAAGAGGCTCAAGCATTATCCAGTTAAATACCTGTCCCCTACCTTTCACAAAGGGTATCAGCAAAATTCATATATCACAAATTTTAGAAAATGTTAATACCAATAGTCTTTTGTGAGAATGTGGACCAGGAGTTCTTCCTTGGAGTCCACAGATACCAAGGGGTCTGTGAATAGATTTCAGGGTGTCCATGAAGTTGAATGGGAAAAAAAAAATCTTAATTTCAATACAGTTGGTTTCCTTTGTAATCCTATTCATTTAAAATATTATTCTTAAAAGGTCCATAGATTTAATGAGACTGCCAAAAAAGTTCATGACACAACCTCTGGTCTAAACCTACTATAATTGGTGACTAGAACCCCTGGTCTAGATCTACTATAGCTACTGGGTCCAGAGACTCTCAAAAACATGTTTATACAAATTTAACAAGCAAGCAAACTTTACAATATTCCCATGGGTTACCACCTTTCTTAGTACATGTAAGAGTGCTGAGGAAATTAGAAAAGAAAATAATGAAAATAAATGTAAATAAATACCAGGGTAAAATAATCTTCACCTTTCAGAAGAAGTGAAATAAGTCAACAAGCATTTATTAAGCACTTACCATGTTCTAGGCACTGTGGTAAGCACTAGGAATAAAAATGTAAGAAAAAAGAAAGACAGTCTCTGTCCTCAAGGAACTTGCATTCTAATGGATGAAAAACACATAAAAGAGAGTTAAAAAGCAAGGGAGTGAAAAGAAGGTACCCACACTGGGCATAGTGGAGAAAGAAGTTTGTGGAATCAGGAGTGAAGTCTATAGTGGAATAAAGAAGTAAACATCGCTGGCTAGGGCACTTTCTTTAAAATGGACATTTCAAGGAGGAATTATACAATCAGATCAGAGGGGCTGCAGGTCCAGGCTGCTGTGACGTGGTAGAGAAATAATTTCCAAGAGTCAGGAGCAGAGCTCAAAGAGGAATGGGTCCCAAATGAACTCTTAGAGCACATGGGACTGTCCCAAAAGGAGACAATCAACTGGATGCCATTTGTATCTTCAGGTGAGAAAACAAACTGTCCTGGATGAAAATTCTTCTCTAGGTCCTTCTAGCACATAGACAACCCATAAACTTCTCCCTGAAAAACCAAAGGGTATTCCAAATGGAAGTCCAAACAAAAATTTCCCTAGGGATGCAATTGTAGAAAGTGAACAAAATTTCTCCAGTGAGTTCCTGTAATAAAAAGCATTCAAGATGAAAATTCCAAATAAATTCCCACAATGCAGCACCTGTGGGGAAAGATGGCAGGGGTGGGGGATAGGGGTGGAGGGAGGGGACACCCTCACACAAATTTCTCTGCTACAATTAAGAAAAGAAATGGTAACAATCAAGAGTAGGTCATGGTAGACTCATCTTATTTCATTTTGTGATGGGGCTATAAAACTAGTATACCGGGGGAATATAGACATATTTTACCTAGATGTTAATAAGGTATTCAACCAAGGTTCTCATACTATTCTCGTGGAAAAGATGGCAAATGTAGACTAAATAATAATACAATTATGTGGATTTGGAACTAGTTGAATAGTGAGACTAAAAAAGTTATGGTTAGTGGTTTAATGTCTGCTTGGCAAGAGGACTCTCGTGAAGTCTGCCAGCAATCTGTACTTGGTCCTATGTTAATTAACATTTTTATCAATAATTTGGATAAAGACATAGATAGCATATTCTAACACACTGAATGACAGAATTAAGATCCAAAAAGATACTGGCAGGCAAGAGGATTGAAATGACTCTAAAAGGACAATAATTCAGTGGAGATAAATGTAAAATCTTATACTTGAATTCAAAAAAATCAGATTCACAGGTATAGGATTGGGAGTCAGTTAAATGTTAGTGCAGCTAAAGAAAAAGATCTAAAGATTTTGGTGGACTACAAGCTCAATGAGCAGAATTAGGAGATTTTTTATACATTAACAACAATACTATAAAAACAAACAGTTTTGAGAGTTGGAAAAACTATTACTCAATACAATGACCATTCATTATTCCAGAATATGGATGATGAAACTTAATATACATTATAGAGACATGACAGATTTAGGGTACAGAATGAGACTATCAATCTATCTATCTATCTATCTTTACAGTATAACATATAGTACATACATTATTATAAATATGTGTAATAAGTATATGTGTAATGTATAGTATATATCTATATGTGCAAATACTACATATATACATATATGAAGTATATATGTATATTTTTCTCTTTCTGTACACTTGGTCTGTCATGTCTCTGTAACATATATTAGGCTTCATTTATGTGTGTGTGTGACACACATACACACACACATATTTATTATACAGCCACTGAAGGAATTTGTTTGGTTAGATTCTGAATATTTATCAAATTTATCAAAATTTTTCTTTTATTTTCCAATGGAGTGGAGGATGACAGAGAGAGGAAAAAAAATAAATTTCTGTCCATTTGAAAAACAGAAAGGTATGGAAGGCTGATATGGATGTAAAATGTTGCATGCACTTTTCAATGAGTTCTTCTCATGAAGTGAGTAATTGGTAAGTGTATGTAATGTAAACACAAAACACCACAATAAACCTTAAAAATATATGACGTGGCAGCCAATAAAAGCTAATTCAATTTTGGGCTTTGTAGAGAGACATATCTTCCAGGAATAATGAAATGATAATCCCTCTCTACTCTAATATATTACATTTGGAGTACTGTGTTTAATTCTGGGCTGATAAGTTGGAGAGAATCCAGGGTAGGACTACTGGAATCATGAAAGACCATGAATCTATGTGATCTCAGGATTACTTGAAGGAACTGGGCATGTTTAGCCTGGAGAGAAGATTGGGGCAGGTGGTGGTGGCCCGATACATTGCCTTCAAGTTTTTGAATGTCTGTCATGTGTAAAATGAATTAGAAGCATTTTGTTTGGCCACAGGGGTGATAATCAGTAGTATGTAAAAATTTCAAAGCATCAAATTTAATCTTGATGTCAGGAAAGTCTTAACAGGACACTCCAAAACTAGAACAATTTGCCTAGAAAGATGATCAGTTTCTTTGTCTTTCCTGGGATTCTACAAGCTGGCTTTGGTTAATTAGTTGGATATTTTATAGTGGTTGATTGATTCCCTTCAGATATAGGTTAGATTAGATCACTGCTGTGGTTCCTGCCTATTTTGAAATTATGATTCTGTGAACTTGCATTTTGTACTTTTGACATATACTGAGGCCAAAGGGCAGGAAATAAAGGTCAAAGGAGCAGGAACCAGACTCTATTTTAAAATGCCTTAATTCTGAGAATCAAAATGGGTGGGGACTTTCCTTCCCTTCTTTTTAGTATAGGTTGATTTGCCGAC